GAAAAACAATCCCCTATGAAAGTCTTCCCTGCTTTCAAGGGTTACATGAAGTATGGAAGTTTATATGGAATCCACGTCTTATCAACTTCTCCAGGAATGAATATCCAATACAATTTAATTTTGTATTTCAAATCTTGATAAGTTCTTGATGTCAAGAACACTAGCTTGGAGGAAGATCCCGACACAATTCTCATTTAAATTCTCATCCTCATTTAATTGGCTATCCTCTGGTTTTCTGTTTCAAGACAGGTAACAGGAGTTCATTGTCTAGGTTCTTCGCGCAATTTTGTAGTTACTTCTGTTTGTCACCTCTCTTCAAATATAATCAATCTTGATAATTTTTGATTTCTCTTCAAATTGGAGTTTTTCTCAGTCCTTTGTAGTCCATTTCAGTCAATTGCTTCCAGCTTTGCCTATAAGATTGAGCCTGCAGAGTACCACGGATTTCCTGAACTTCATTATGCAACACTGCATTACCTTCCACTCTGTTCCTTCCACAGGGTGCCAATGCCTTAAAGGAACATGGATATATCTGTGTGTTATCCCACTAATAGGAATGGGAAAAATTCCACTGACTTTGCTGCGCAGAATGTGCAGATCCATGTTAAGATTACTCATTTGTGTATATTCCACAGAATCCAAATATACAGACTCACATATAGGAGTCTCTCCCTTCTGTTACTGGGAGGTAACGTGCTGTTTGCAATAATGCCTTTTTAAACTGGCTCAACTACAAGCAAGTTAGAACAGTGAACACAGAGCAGTGAACTCCTTTTCCTACTGCCTGTGTAGCACGGAGTAAGCTAACACACCATTTACATCAACTTCGGTTGCTGCCCATGCAGCCTCAAGGAGAACAAGAGCTGTTCAACATGTTTGCCGCTCGCTCCGTAGCCTCCATCAGCCCCATGGGACAGGTGAGTGAATTTCAAGTGTTCATCTGACAATAGCTGCTCTAATAGCTCATCTCTAATAGCTGCTCTCATGGGAGAACGTGCACATCATTAGAGAAAATGCTGCAATATGCAGTGCTGTCCTCAGCAGAATCCTGTTCCAGTCACGATTTTTACTTTTCCTGGAAAGGCGAAGGACGTATAGTCCTTACGTATATGTATTATTGTAACTCACCGAGACAGTCAGGTTTGTTATGTTCCTGTTAATGACTGAACAGTACTGTTACATATCAAACAAATAACTTTGCAATAGATAGCCTTAGTTACTCAGTTAATCAAGTTTTGGTACTTAAATCCATTGCAACACACGTGCAAGCTTAAAGAAGCTCATTTGTAACTCATCGCTCTGAACACTTCATTGTATCAGTGCTTTTTGAACTACTCTGGTCCCAGTTCTTACTTAGCTTATTTTATCGTACATGTTCCACATCAGTGACCTACAGAAACAATGGCTATAGCACGCAGCAGTAACTAGTACAGACATTTTCATAAAGAAGCAGTATATATATAACTTTTATATATATATATATATGTGTTCCTAGTTGCAGATGAGGAAAATGCATTGCAGCAGACAGAATGAAATATTCAAACAGTTTTTATAAAGGCATGTTCAGTTCAGCTATGTTTAGTTTGGCTTCATTCTTAGGTCTAATTATTTTCAGAGCCGTTCTGAAGTATTGATAGAGTCTTGTTAGTATTGACAGAGATTTACTAACAAACCTGTGAAGAACTGATACAGCTGATGGCAATGTCTATACCTACCTCATCATGATATATAGCTCAAAATCTAACTGTTCACTTCCTTCATCATTTACAAGACACATTCAGGAGACTGGTATAATTTCGTTCTAAGAGATGTTTAACAGAAATTTGTTTTATTAATCCAAGAACTTCACTGAATATTGCAGACAGAGATAGATGAATCTGAAGTCACTGAAGATTCTAACAAGTTTATCAGGAAAAACACTTGCTAAAATGTTTTGAAGTCAGTACAGTACTAGGAAAAATAGCAACGATGCAAAATAATAAAACAAAGACAGCTGTCTGACTGGACAAGATACTCATCACCAAAGACTTCTACGACGCATGTTTTCCTTGTGGCTTTGCTAAAGAATTCCCTGGCTAAATTAGTGCAAGTCACACAACCTTCCTCTAAGTCAATTATTCAACCAATAATGTGGGGAAAATAATGCCAGTATCCTAATAATATAAGGTTGCTGAAGGCTTCTTTCTTTTTTTTTTTTTTTCCTTCCTGTAAAACATTTTGTACAGGATCCTGATATAGCACGATCTTGCCGAAGGGCTGCTGAAGTCAGCAAGATCTCTACCAGAAGACAGACATACAAAATACGACTGGAAGGGCAGATAGCATGTTATATTACTACTTAGGCTCTTTTTCAGCTTGGTGGCACTTCAGCATTCTAGATGCCTTATGAACACAATGGGCACAGCTGTCAAGATCACTTTACGGCCACCATCAGACAGCCATCGAAGCAGCAGTGTGGGGATATAAATGCGTAACACAGAAATACAGCTTGCCAACCCCGAGATTAGCTACTCCAACAAACCAACTCTTAGTTCCCATATAAAATATAACTAGCAAAGATCATTTGCAGAGCAGGATTTCCTGGTGTTTTTCTTACCTGCAGGACTTCTGACTGTACAATACCCTGGGAACAGAGTGACAACGCCGGTTCTCATGCCAAAAGCTTACAGATGCACATATGGTCCCGCGTTTTTTTGTGGTTTACTCTGCAGATTATGGTTGATCTACCATACTATAAGGAAGCAGAGTCTCTCTTGTGAATAGCTACCATTACACAGCCAAACCACAAAGAAATTTGGGGCTTTATTCTTAGAGGCATTTATTTCAGTGCAGAATACTCAGTTTCTAAAGCCTCAGTCTAGTAACTTACACCTCAGAAACTATATTCACTTAAGATCAGTTATCCAAATTAAAACAAGAAATGTAATGAAGGTCTTTGTTAAGATTTACATTTAATTTATATCCACATTTTCCATTTTTGGAAATGAAATATTTACGTACTTATTGTGGAGAATATTATTTAGCAGATACTGCAACGATTTCTAGGTAACGTTTCTTCTTTGTAGTTTTACACCAGTGAAAAAGAACGTTTAGAAAATGCTTCACAATGGAATTTTTACATCCTCTGAAAAGCTGGGTGTTTCACATTAGGAAATCTCAGCAATTTTAATGAAAACACAGGAAAGCTTATGAAATCCAAAATGCCACTTCATAATTAGAAAAATTCCTACAGCTACTTAGTTTTCATTTTAATTCCTAATCTTTGCCCAACTCTGATTTGCAAGCTACGGTATAAATACATGTAATACTTTAAAAACACAAAGACGCAAACCCTAATCTTTGAATTGGTTACATGCCAGGCTTGTGCTTAGAACTTTAGAAACTGTTTATAAGCAGATATTTAAAACCAGAGGCATCACCTTTTCAAAGGCACTCCTTAAAAGGACTGCAACAATGTGTTCTGGGCAAATTGTGGTTTGATGTGAATTTACGGCTGCATTTAGAAAATAGTGCATTTAACTTCTTTTAGTCTGTATTGTATTTGGATATCATATTTTCAGAAATAGGTGATCATACAGTCTACATTGCAATGCATAAATCAAAGCTCTAACTGTAATATAGAAAAAGACATTACTGTACTCACAGTCAAGGATGTTAGGCCAGCATGATCCAACTTCTATGATTAATACCAAAAATCACGATTGTTTCACTGCTTATCTTGTCTTCCCTCCATTCTCTTCCCTTCTTTAATTTGAAAGTCTTATGCCTCAAGTAACCATATTAAATTTAGCTGTCTCCCCACTGTTGTAAGATGGTAAAATAGTTTTTGGCTAAGTTGTGGCTATGTTTCAAATATGGAATACAATTTCTCCCAACTCAAAATTATGTTGCTATATGTCTTCCTCTAAGTCTCATTTTTTAAGCTAGTAACTCTTAGTTAAAATCCATATGTTGCCAAGGCATTGTTATGGTAGTAACACCCTCCCATCCCAGGAATTTTCCAGGTTTCACCTCTGTTACCATGCTGTACTTGAAATTATATATCATCAAAGTTAGGACTGGGACTACTGCCATTCTCTAGAAGGGAGACCACACATGTGTTGAAGAAGTCAGTTTTTTATTTCCTAATTCTGCTATATGAACATGAAAAAGGAGAACAAAGCACAGTCACTGATCTCAAAGAACCAAAACTATAGACTGAAAGAATAAGAGGCTTGAAAAATAGACCTGCATATAAATTGCTGAAGTAGCTGACAGAACCTTTTCTCCTTTGGACTTCCATTAAATTATAGAAGATTAAAATAGGGCACAAAAATATTTAGCCTATTATTACAAAGGATTTCAGTGGAAATGTGTTTTGTTCCCTTTAGTTTTCTGAAAAAATACGAGTTCTAGTTATTACATTTGAATAAAACTGGTAAATTTAATTTGTAGGTTTCATTTGGACTTTGGATGAAAAACGCACCTAAAAGCTTGTCTAAAAGGTCAGTTTGGATCCAAATGACCTAATCCCATGCCATTTTGAAGTACTACACTGTTCCCTTCTGTCAGGATTCTGTAGTTTCATAGCCTTGTTTGTTGTTTATTCTTCCATTAAAGATAAATGAAAGGTTAAGTAGATGTATTAACTACGTGGTTCATTTACTTGGATCTTTTCTTTGAAGCTATCATGAATCAGCAACTGAAAATCCTTAATGCTTGAATTCTTTTAAAAATTAAATCTCAGGGTTCTTATTTCATGCAAAAGTAGAGAGGAACAAGAAAAGTTGCTACTACTGCATTACTAACAAAACAGTTCTCAATAAAAGTAGAGATTATCTTTGCACAACTAACAGAACATACATAATATTAGATCTTAAGTTAATTAACTGAAAAAGCAGAGGAGCTCACTGTGACTAATCATTACTATTCGGGAGACCCAGATGATTAGCCTTGAAGCATTCAGTAACCTCTTCTTTAACTAATTTTTTAAAAACATTTCGAAATTACACTGTACTTACTGGATTGAGAACCACTGTGAAGAACAACTCTCCTCCTTGAATGCTTTTGTCTAGTTCCTTTGGGCCTCCAGGATACTCTTTATAGAAAATTGTGTGGGTGAATAAGCCACAAGTTTGCCTAGGAAGCACCTAAATTTATTAAAAAAAAAAAAAAGAAAAAAGATTCAAGAGAAATTCACAAAACAAAAATGTTTATGCTTTTAATGAGATAATAAATGCCAGATAAGTAACACATAACTGATAATGTTCCTTTGTGATAATTGCTGGGTAGATTTGACATAACATCTTTGCCAGTAGTCACTAAAGATCTAATTGAATTAATACACTGGCAGATCAATAAATAGTGATTACTGACAGAAACAACATTCTTTATATCGGTGAAATCATAATGTCTAAAAATTCACCACATTTTGTTTGAAAGTGCAGATTGATTTCAATCACTAAGTTACAACTCAGCAATCTCCTCAATTTAATTTTATCTGTAACACCTGATCCTGAAACCAAGTATTTGAAGTCTGCTCATCAAAGATTTCTAAACTGGAGTTTGAAAGGCAATTTTTGAATAGGAAGAACTAATAAATGCAGTCACGTTCTCCAGTAGAACTTCAAATATTTTCTATCAACTTCAGAAAATAATTCGCTGGAGAGTATTTCAATTATGTCTATTTTCATGGAAAATCAACAGCTGAGTATTGATGCTCGTGTATAATTCTCAAACTAGGATTGTTCTCAAACACTTCAGTCCCATTTAGAACATGTATTATATGATAGCTTAAACTTTTAAAGCACACAAATCCCTTACTTGACATAGACTGTGGTTTTGTAGATACTCTCTTATTTCTTGTAGTTTCATTTCTCAATATCTTTTTTGTAATGTACAGGATACTGTGACCACAGATCATAAATCCTGTGTTGTCAGAAAATGTATGGAATTTGTACTTTTGCTACAAACTTGCATACGCTTTTTAAAAACCTTTGGATTTCACTAATGAAATATGAGAACAGTTCTTCACAGAGGCAGGGAATGAAGCTGTACCGGATGGGAAATGCTCTGGCAAATCTTACACAATGGTTTTATTACTGAATGCATTCATCACTATAAGCCTGCAGATGTAAAATATTACTGCATTTGCCCTGGAGAACTGAAAGCTTGAGACTCCCAAAACAGGTGGTTTTACATGACTGTTCTCGGAAATTGATTTTTGGCCCCAGTGTCCTTGTGTTAAATCTCATAATGTGTCTTCAAACGACATGTTTTTACAAAAATTTATGAAAGAGATTTTTGGAGATTCTGAGAGTCAATCAGTCTCCCTCAAACGCTTCACGCCCCCTGAGCATACCCACAAACCCATTATTTTACATGCAGCTCTTGCTTTGAGGAGAACAAACTGTAGCTCAAACCCCGTACGGCGTCAAGTTGTTTTCTGGATGTCTGGAGACCGTTTGAGTTTGCTTCATCCAGAAATACATAAAAACTTTTAAATATTACTATTTCGCTTAGAAAAGTGGTATCCATGGTAACTTGAGGGCGATACTGGAATTCTGTTATAAGCTAAGTGGCAGTCTTGTGCTAAGGTGCTTGACCCTCCAAAACCCAGCCAGAGGTATTAACACAGTACACGCACTGGGATTCACCACTCTCCTACGTGCTCTGAAAGGAAGTTGCTTGAGAACATACCATCCAGTTTTTTGGAAAATTGTTTTGAAACACTTCTCAGACAATAACGACAACACGTGAATCAGAAATAGCCTACACTCCAGTGACCAGATGGTATTAGCACAACTCCTTCCATGTTGGTTGTGCATAAGCCCTTCTGGCGAACACTGCCGTCAGTGAACAACACTGGGAATTATGTAATACAAAAAAAATTATGTGATCTGACTTGTGGCTGCCTCAACAGAGCAGTTTCATAGCCTAGAGGGGGTGTGGCATGTCTGTGCCTTCCTTCCCTCCACCCTGAGTGTCTGCCCGCATCCAGACGGATTGCCCGACCCAAAGCCTAGCTGTGGGGTTACGCCACAGTGCCAAGCACAGCTCGCATTCCAGTACGGCAGGAAGCAAAACGAGGGCAACTGTGCACTGTTCAAATGGCAGAAATATTTATGCACGAAAATGCAGATTCTCAGATGGCATAAACTGACAAAACTCTTTTGCAGTTAATAGTACTATGCAAATTTAAAACCTGCTAGAAATCCAACCTATAATATTCTGTTAAAAGACGTGAAGTTGACTTTTTCCTTGAGATCTCTGAATTCAGAGAGAATCTCTGATCTCAGATTAACAGTAGGACTAGAATAGTTAACAGCCTGTTAACTGTTAACAGCAGGGTGCCTGGAGGCCACCTTCATCAGCAACAGACTGATTTTAATTAACAAGATACCGTCAAATATATCTTGTTACTTATGCATAGCAATATGTGCTTCTCACAATGTGAACTTCCAGGATCCTGTGCTTTTCCACTTAAAAATAACTAGTTCATAAAATGAACAAAAATACGAACATCATAAATACAACTCACCATGATATTTTTGTGGATGAAGCCTCGTCTGTACCTTGCAGGCTTCAGATGTGGGTATTCTTCTGTGCTGGTAACTCTGATATTCCAGACTTTTTTCCAGGCATCATAAAGTTGAACGTGCACTGGATAGACTCCGGAATGGTGTGGCGCCACTGCATAGCCCAAGTCAGTTGGAATACTATGTTCCTAAAGAATAACAGAACAATGACTGCTTTCAAAGCATAAGAAACTTGATGTTTTGGCATTTCTCAAATCCTTTGTTTGTGAGACATCAAGAACAGGTCTGAAATGCAAATATCGGCGATATCAAAATTTGCTGATATGTAAGTGAGAGGGAAGGCAGCATGGTGAAGATGAAACGCAAGATTTTAGTACCAATGCCTTTTTAATAAATATTTTGATGAGTACGTAGGGAAGAGTGATACAGATGTATTTTACATTGGTTTCTTCAATATACATTACACAGAAAGCTGCACTCTAGTTCTTGCAAGGAATTTGCTCACAAACTACGAATTCAGAGAGAAAATTACTGGCACATATTCAACACAACCGATACAATGATCGAAGCGTGATTTCCACTACATGTCCCGACACAATTACTTGGATTGTTAGCTGCATTTCATAGAGAGTCACTACGTTTCCTCTCTAGTCCACAAGAAACATAAAAATGTATTCAAAAACAAGCTTAACCATTTCAGTGTCATTTTAATAAAAGAAAAAAAGATAATCACTTGTAAAATTCTGAGGATAATAGGCAGAATCTGCAGACTAACCCCTTCTGTACTACATCTTGTATGTTTGCAGGCTCCTGTCCTTTATCTTGTTTACACACTGACCTTGCAGGCATTACATTCTCTTGATATTCGATATATTTTCTTTCCAGTTTCTTATTTCCAACACACCCTAACGAATTTTGACACCTCTTCTCCTTTCTTTCAGGTTAGTTTTCAAAGAAATGGTATAGAGCAGGTATTTCTTTGATAGTCTGATTAGCAGAATACACTGTCCCTGAGATGTTGCTCTGTAGCAGTGATCTAGGAAAACTGCCTTTGTACAACCTTTGAATTCTGTTTAAGAGTTTTTTATATTGCCTGTGTTTGCGTGGTCATCTTCACCATATTTTCTAACCCTACTTTGCACGCAAAGGTAAGAGATGGTTGATACTTGGATCTCTTCCTTTGAATAAACTAGTTACTAAGGAATATGAAAAACTCTCTAAGTCTAATCTCAACGAAAAATGGGTGCGTGACCTTAGTAAAATCATCTTTCTTCATCTTTTCTGAAGGAGGCCTGGACTACTGCAGGAAAGCTAATGCACTGAACTTAAAGAGCTTAAACAGTCAGGATTCAATATTAGACAAATCTGTTATAATTTAACTACAACGACTTTTACTGACAGCTTAAAACAACACGAATTCACAAAAAGCAGTATTTGCTTCTGCTCTGGAGGAACGTGAGAAATAAGACTTGAAAGATGTGAAGCCTGCAAGGGAAGAAACCTGTTCTTCCCTCGTTAAAGGGTTACTCTGAACCTAGTGCAATGGCGTGTGTAACAGGTACGGTTTCATCACAGTTGAGAATCCTATTTTTTTCTATGTAAGAACTGGTGAAATTATTATTTCCCCTTAGCAATTTCTGGCGTACGTAATGGGGCCTAAGATTTTACCGCCCGGGGCTGGTGCAGCTTTTGGAATTCTCGTAAGACCGCAGCGCTCCTGGGTGAGATCCAAACAGCCCGTCAGTGACCCCGCTGCACCCAGGGAGTGCGTCTGCAGCTGGGGTGCACTGGGCGTAACCG